TGATAATATCTAAAATGAGACTGAGGGCTTCCCTGGTGGCACAGTGGTTCAGAGTCCACCTGCCGTTGCAGGGGACACAGATTCGTTCCCCGGTCCGGAAAGATCCCACATGCCGCGGAGCGGCTGGGCCCGTGAGCCATGGCCGCTGAGCCTGCGCGTCCGGAGCCTGTGCTCTGCAACGGGAGAGGCCACAACAGTGAGAGGCCCGCGTACCGCCAAAAATATAAAATAAAATAAAGTGAGACTGAAATACTCTTCATCCTTTTTGTATCTTTTGTCCTCCAGCGACCATCCCGGCAAAAAAGTAACTAGAAAACTACAAAACCATGACTTTCTAATTTAAATTACTGCCAATGATAAGTTAAAAGCTCATTTTCATAAAAACATGCTCAATATTTTCTATATAGTTTGACAACATGCAGAAGAAATAAGATAAATTTTCTGCAAAGAAATAAGACACTGCGCATTTAAAAAAATTTTTTTAAGTATATGTGATTTTTCACCTGAATAGCTCATTAACCCAAGAGTTGCAGATTCTAATCATACTTGACCTCATTGATGGACTGTCCATCTTACTTCCTACAGGATCAGAACTGGCTAACTTGACTTCTTGGCATTTGTGGATTGCAGGTCTTAAAATACTAATGAACACTTCACCGTCTGCATCCACTTGCTCCATGCCTTCTAGAGGTACCAGCTGATTCTAACATTAGAATCAATCAATCAATCAATAAAGTGTGGTTTGTGATTCATCCTGCCACCATGAAACAAAATGGTAGGTTTTTTTTTTTAAAGCTTTCAATAGAGCTATGTATATATACATAATGATTTTCAATGACACATGGCATGTGTGTAAAGGTTACTAAAACCACATAAGTGTACTAAGGAATACAGTTCTTGGATTCATTTAATGTAAACTGTGTCCTTAAGTAAAAATCTTAACAAAGCAACAAATATTTACTGAACAATCACTATGGAAAAAACAAAAGGAACGGGAAGAGGAAAGTTTCTTAATAAGAACCAGGTACTTCATGTTTGTATCCCTCCTCTCTTTTTATTTGCTCAGATCATAGCATTTATCGTCCTATATTTTAATTATTTACTGTGCTTTTCCACTGCGTTAAAATGTCTTTTTAAGTCACAGAAAAGGTGAAAGAACAGGACAACCAACTCCCAAACACAACTCACCTAGATTCACAAACTGTCAACATCATGTCGCGATACACCTGCTATCTCCCTCCTCCCACATCCACATAATATATACACAGGTATACTTACAGACATACGCGTATCTACACACACATACATACACTTTCCTTTTGCCAAACCATCTGAAAGTGTATTTCACACTTCAATACTTCAGCGTGAACCTCCCCCAAACACCCTTACCATGCCTAAGGAAATTAACATTAATTCAAAAATTCTTCCTCCCCAATTGCCCGCAAAATGTCCTTCAGAGTGCCCTGCTTTTCTTCTGATACAGATCCTTATCACAGCTCACACACTGCATTTTGGCTGTGGGATCTATCTCTTCAGTCTCTCCCAGTCACCAATATGGAATTCAAGCCAGTTGTCTTGTAGAATGTTCCACATTCCGGATTCATCTGGCTGCTTCCTCAGAATTAGAATCATAGTACAACACGGCTGGCAACTGTACCAGAAAGGTGATGTGGTACCTTCTACCGCATTTTATCTAGTGGCCTATGATGCTATGCACCCCATTAATGATGCCAGGCTTGACTATTTGATTAAAAATGCGGTGACAGCCAGATATCGCCACTGCAAGCATGTGTCTTCGCTGTGATTATATGTAACCTGGGGGTGATATTTTGAGACCTTGTGCGCCTCCTGTGTTCCCCAACAACTTTCCTCCAGTGGTTTCTGCAACCACCGATGATCCTTGCTTGAATCAATTATCACACTGGGGATTTAAAAAAATGATAATTTTCTATTTCATTCATTCCTTCTACACTTATCTGCTGGCATTCTCCTAAAACAAAGAATTATTCCTTTTTCCTCTCTTCTAAGGATTACTGTGGACTCACTGGATTTCTTTTGTTGATATGTTATAATCCATTGCCATCATTTTTCTTTGTGATTCTCAAATGGGCCCAAGTTTGAAAGGTGCTCCTTCAAGCTAAGTCCTGTGCCCTTCTGTGCAGACCTCACTGTCTTTGAACATTTTCCTTCCTTGATTTCTGGCACAACAATGCAGGCTCCCCCTGAGCTTTCCCTGCCTTAGACCTGGAATCAGCCATTTCTCCAAGAAGTCCCAATCAGAAACCAAGATCTAGGCACCAGATGTGCTCACAATTTGGGGGTATTTTTGTTCCCTTTTGGTGGGCAAAACTAGAGGAAACCATTTTAAATTATGAGTTAATATTTAATATCTCCAAATCCAGTCTACTACCATAGTGCTCCTCCTAATTTCTTCCATTCAATTTGTATATCCCTTCTCCCATAGGGAAAACACCGGCTTCCAAAAATATCTATTAATTCATTTTTTACTCTATCCTATGACACATTCAAAAGGATTTCAGGAGTATAATACCAATACTATTATCAGCAACAAACCTACTAAGCTCAAGATTTCTTTGCAGTTAATTTTGTCTTCAGTATATTATACTAAGAATAAAGAATCAGAGAACTGAGTTCAAAGGTGTTTGAATTAATTTTTTTCTGTGTGGTTATATATTCAATTGCATGTACCATTAGGATCATCTCTTTCTGTTTGTATTCAATATTAGGGTTTCCTTTTCCCATGCTTTTTGTTTCTCGATTGATACGAAAGGCAAACTACATAAAAATGTACATTCAGAGACATCTCATTCCCCGTCTAAGCATCCTCTTTAGGTAAACATTTTTATTAGTTTCTGGCTTACCCTTCCCATGGGTTTGTTTTATATTTTCATGAAAAATAATATATACCTACACATGTATATACAGATGTACTTATTCCCCCTTCTTCCTTATACAAACAGAAACATCTTATATACTCTTTTGCACTTTACATTTTTCACTTACTAATATATCCTGAAAATTTCTCCATATCAAATCATGGTTTTTTCTCATTTTCTACAGCTACAAGGCACTCTATTATGGTAGCTGTGCCATAATTTATCCAACCAATGTTCCTATAAATGTGCATTTAAATTATGCTGCTACAGATAAGGTCACAATAAACAACCCTGTATAACCAGTTTTATAACTGTGGAGGTGTGTGTTTAAATTTCTACACGTGAGATTATAGGATCAAAAAGTAAACATATATTTGCCTGGTCGCCTTTGTACCTCAAGCATCAGGAGCAGGGCCCCCAAGTAGCAGATGCTTAGATTTTTTTTGAGTGAACTCAATTATGAATTCTTTTGAGAGCTTTAAAAACTTTTTGTTTATTTTCACATCTCTCCTGCTTCTATTTCCTGAGGACATAGACCTTCTTTCACCAATTACTCACCCTCTTCACAGAACATGCAGAGGGCCCAGTGCTGGGAACCCTAAGCACACGGTCCTTAACATGTGAGAAATTGATCAATGTTCCTGGACTCCTGAGACACAATAAACTTCTAAGCATTATATTCAATTAAAGGAAGGTGAAGAGACTGACTTGAGTCCTATGTGTATCAAACCAAAAACTGTGCTCATCTAGCAAACATTCATTATTATACAGCACCTATGCTATGATGCAAACGTTTATTCACGAAATAATATTTTATTGCACAACCAAGGGAAAAACCAGTCATGTATCTTATAATAAAAAGATGATTTCTAAAACATCAAAGAGCAGATGCAATCAGTGACACTGCTCCACAGGCCCATGGCAGCTGTGTGTCGCTGCCATCTACAAGAGCACCTACTTGACACAGCTCACAGAATTCAATCTGTTTAATTTAGCACAAATTGAACAGCAAAACCTACAAGAGCTCAAGTCTGTAGACTAATACTACAACCAGCCTCTATATTCTAAAATCAGTTATTCACCTAGAAAATATTAGATAAAATATGTACATGAAAAATGGGGATTGGAAAATAATGAAAACCACATGCTGACAATACTCTAAGAAAAATTACCTGGAATCTTAAAAGTTTTAATGTATAAACTCTACACTGAATGGTTCGTTAGATTTAATATTTCATTTACATGTTCAAAATAATAGTTTCAATTATACCAAGTTTTATACAATTGTATAGTTCCCTTGTATTATATTTTTTCTAAGAGATATTTTTATTTAGAGTTGTAACTGAAAACTTTGAAGGTATTAAGTATTCTGGTAAACAAAAGGGATTATAATTTTATTTGTTTATTTGACAAGAAAGTCAAACTCTTAAAACTTGCTTGACATTTCACTGAGCATTAACTGTATGGCTTTCCAGAAAAAATTAATCAATTTCTTTACCAGAAGTAGACTTAAAAAGTACTTCAAATGACTGACTATAAAAGAATAATAGTTCTTTTTATTGTTTTATAGAGCAATTTATTGTTCTATAAAAGAACAATAAATTGTTCATATATTTTATAAATCCTTTATTGTTTAATGCAAAGAATGTTTTCCAGCCAGTATTCACAGTTCCCCAAATCCTCTAGATATAAAGCTGTGAATATACCTGCACTAATGATTTGGAAAATGTAACCTCCTTAATATTCTATAAAGACACTTAGAATAAAAAATAAAATAGAAATAAATAATAATGTTTTAAGGTTTTCATTTTGTATATATAAATAACATAGAGCTAACAGGACTATGAAACATTTTTCATCATAGAGGTTACATTGAGATAGGAAGAATATAGACAAATAAAGCTGCAAATTTTACATAATGGGATATATACCTGTGCTAATACAACTCCAAATTATAACGGAATTAACGAGAATGATTAGTTGAACCCAGAACTCTACATTTTATACATTTTGTATTCATTTTGCTTTACATGCATTAACTTTCTTCTGAAAAGGCAACTCAGTCTAAGATAAATTTAAATATAAAGAGGTCAGATAAAGTACCTTTCATAGATGGTTTTTAATGTCATTTGATCTGGAATACCTTCAGTCTCTTCCAAATATAATATGAGCCAAGAAGTTCGGTATGGCCACTGCTCAGTAAGGTTGATCCAGCTGGCAAGCCTGTCCCAGTTGAAACTTATCTGATTGGCTCTCAGTAATCGCCCTTTAAGGAATATAAAAAATGTTTTAAATTAATAGGCATGTAACGTTAAGCCAAATATTCTGTATATTCAAAAATAATTCAACTTTAAATGTTTTAAAATTTGCCATTTAATTTACACTACAAACTGAAACCTAGTACTTATATGGATATGGCTTAAACACAACGCTGTTTAATTCTAAAGTAATTTTTTGTGATTTGCCGTTGGTGCTATACACTGCTTTGATGACATTTATGCAGGCAAAAATCTTTCAGGATGGCATGTCAGATGGTCTCGACCCTACCCACAGTCATATAGCAGAACATCAATGCTCCCATGATAAGCCCCACCCTCCTATGGACCTTGAACAAATCCAAATATGCTGGATTGTACATTTACCCGTTTTATTACGGGTAAATGTACAATCCCATACACTTTCATTTTTATGTACTAAGGGCGGCTTATGTAAGTAATCTATCAAGTGACTAATAATAGGTTTCTAAAATTTGTTTACATATATTTAAAAACTCCTGTCTATCGCCGGGGTTTTCTTAGGACTCTAATTCAGTGTTCTACCATTGGGCATGCCTACATTAGGACACTTGGCAATCCTTGAACTTTCAGAACAGATGATTTGTTTCATTGCTTCATCAATTTTTCCTTGATCTCGTTGGGATTCTGAACTGCTGATATCATTGCTTTTTAGTTTTAAACATTGTCAGTTTTATTTCATCATTATCTAGACTAAGATATCTATTTGTTTTGGTTCAAATATGAATCATCCCTTTCCTTACTACTAATAGATATAGATTTGTAATTCCCCCATCCAATTCTTCCCATATCCTCAGACCCTCATTCCCTCAGCAGATCTGCTTTTATGGGCAAACCACATTATCATCACCGGATTCCTTTTTCCCTAGAAAATGGGATCTGGTCTGCTAAATCAGTGACAAGGTCTTTACCTTCAATCCAAGCGAACTGCGGTCACATGCATTTGAGAGCTACAAAAACTCACTGAAGTATCACAATATACGGATATATGATACTAACGCTGGGGATAAAATGCTTAACAGAAGAGATATGATCCCAGCCTTCATGAAGCTTACACTCCAGTGGGCCAGACAAATAAATCAAACACAAATCATGAAATGACTTAATCACAAACTATGATGAGAGGAGATCTACCCTCAGTAGAGTATAAACAGGTTAACACAGAACTAAAAGTATAAAAACCTAGGCAACTAGAAGCAAGGCATTAAAATGTGCTTGCAACACTGACAACATACTTCTTGAACTTTAAAAGATGAAAAAACTGGTGAAAAAAACTTTTAGAACTGAATTGGAAACATGGGTTGAAACAATATGTGAACTAATTTTCATCCCATAATGATTAGGCTTGATCCCCCAAACATTTGTGGGAAGACAATGAAGCCTTCAAATCTGACTACAGTTGCTCTATTGAGTTTTTAAAACTCAGTCATTCAGTACCTTAGTTACTGATGACAGACATAGAAGGCTTACTCCCCACCCTAAAAGAACTCAAGAGTGTACTGGAAAAGATGGATAGATAAGAAAACAATTACAACCCTAACAGATAAGACTCTACTGGAGATACACACATACTGCTGTGAGAAAATAAAAAATGCAAAAAATGCACTCCAAATCCAGAAGCAGCTGTTACGGGAAGGTTTCCTTAAGAAAGTAACCCCTAGAACTAAGCTATGCAAGATGAGTATGAGTCAATCTGATGAGGAAGGGCTGAGGCAAGAGGAGAAAGGGCAGTCAAACAAAGGCAACAGCAAACGCAGTCATGAATTCATGAAACTAGCAGATACAGAGAACTGAAAAACTATTTTAAAAGTGTGAGTGAATAAAAATAACGTTAAGTATTTGAAGTGTTCTAGCATACAACAGTTAAGAAATAAAGCAGTAGCGGGGGCTTCCCTGGTGGCACAATAGTTAAGAATCCGCCTGCCAATGCAGTGGACACGGGTTTGAGCCCTGGTCCGGGAAGATCCCACATGCCACGGAGCAACTAAGCCCGTGTGCCACAACTACTGAGCCTGAGCTCTAGAGCCTGCGAGCCACAACTACTGAGCCCACATGCCACAACTAATGAAGCCCATACACCTAGAGCCCGTGCTCCGCAACAAGAGAAGCCACCACAATGAGAAGCCCACACATCGCAATGAAGAGTAGCCCCCGCTCGCAGCAACCAGAGAAAGCCTGCGCGCAACAATGAAGACCCAGCGCAGCCAAAAATAAATAAATAAATAAATAAATAAATAAATTTATTTATTTAAAAAAAAAAGCAGTAGTGGGAAAAAATTTTGCTCAATGGATGTCTAAGGTTATCTTTTAATATTATCCTCCAAAATAATCCAATAAAACTGATTTTAAATAAAGCACATTTGATAAAATAAAGCACAATTTTAAAGTAGGAAACCACATAATTAAATACTCACCAATACTTTATATACTAAAGTCCCAAATTATTTTCTGATATTAGCTCCATCCATTATATACCTTTCCTAATAGCAGCAACCATTTGCATAGTGTTCAACAGATAACATTATACATTTTTACATATAAGGGAATGAGAGGTACCAGAGGCTAATCAATATGCCCAGGGCTCAAACTCAAGTCTTTTGTCTTCCAATTCTAACTAAATAAATAATTTATCTATTCAAATAAATAAAATGTTATTTCCCTATATACATCTAACTAATGGTAGCCAACTGAGTGAAAAATTTATCATGAAAACTATCAAAAATCCATTAAAATACAAAAGTTTAAATCTGTAGTTATTTTCAACACTTTTATATTTAAGCAATGAAACTAACGGCATTAAGATGCTTTCATAAAATGAAAAATTTACCTAGAATCTTTCATTTTCAGGCAGAGCTATATTTGATGAAACAAAAATATTTCTGATGTAACAATCTAGAAAGACTGCTTATAGTCAAAGACGAATACTAGAGAAATTCTTACATTCAAAACAAGGCTTTAGGAAAAAACTTTGGTTCTACTCCAAACTGTGTACACATCATTATTTTTTAATGTGCATCTAAATATCAGCTGTTAAATGATATTACCTTGCTCATCTTTAGAGTGCCTAAAGATGTCTAAATAAAACACAAAGTCCTTACCATGGATATGGGGCTTGTAAGGCCCACAATGAACTGGCCACTGGCTATTTCTCTGACATCACTTCCCACTACTCTCCCGTCTGCTCCCCAAACTCCAACCAGACTGGCCTCAGAGTTGGGATCCCACCTCAGAGCATTTAAACTTGCTGCTCCTTCTGCTTAGAATGCTTTTCTCAAGTTATTTGTAAAGTTCGGTTTCCACTTCAGGTCTCAAACTCATTCAACAGTGTCCAAGACACTGTCTTGGGTATGGAGGAAAGGGAAAATAATACAGACAAAAATCTTGGCCATGTGGGTCTAACATTCTACTGAAGGGAGACAGACAAAAAACAAAATAAGTAAGTATATTCATGTGTTAGAAGGTGATCGATTCTATGGAGTAAAATGAAGCAGGGAAGAAAGGAGTATGAAATAGGGAGGTGTCATTTTTATATAAGATAACAGAGGGATGGTCTCATTGAAAAGCTGATAATTAAGCAAAGACTTAAGGTGTGAAAAGCCATTATGCATCTCTCCAAAGAAAGATCCTTACAGACAGAAGAAATAGCAAGTGCAAAAGCCCTTAGGCAGGACCATGCTTGACATTTTCAGGGAACAGCAAAGAGGTTGGTAAGGGCTGGAGGAGGAAAGTAGATGAGGTCAGAGGTAGGGAA